AGGAAACAGAAATCTTAAGTTAACATATCGCCAACTTCTTGTCTTTGTTTTTCGAATGGCTTGACCTACATTTTTCTTTGGCTTGAACACGTAACGATACAAATTTATTCATATAATTATGTTAGCATGCGTGTATTACTGATGTATTGATAGACTGATATGATTCAAGAGGTTATTCAACGTATTTCGGTTTGATTTGTTAGAAGTTATTTAACTTATTCACTTAATATAATTCCAAATAATGAAAGTCTAGTTCCACTTCAAATATTAAAACGACCTAACGGTAAATACATACTTCTAACATAACTAGTTCGGTAACTTTTGAGATTACCTCATACAGCATTAAGAATACAGTGAATCGTTTAATAAATAGTTAAGCGTCATCGATTAGCAATGTTTCACCGAGTTTTTTCCGTTTTGTGGTTTATTTAATTGTCCGACTCGATACAAGCGTTCGATCTCGATTGATAAAACCATCAATGGGACATGATGTCGCAACATTTAACTTTATTAAAATTTTCCCAATTGAACTTGAATTGAGCGGATTAGAGTTGTAAAGAGAAAGTTGTGTTATAATGTTGATGAGGATCATTGATTGGCTAAGTTGAAAATTATGAGAACTCTATTTACTATAGTTGGTTTTGATTAACGTTAACTTCACAATTATGAGCACAGACTGAAAATAAACCTTTTTACAGTTAGATAAATCCATTAGTTTTGCATTCCCAGTGGGTCCATTAGTTTTGCATTCCAACATTTCGTAGGTTAATTAGTGCTGTTCTTTTTGTCGTGTCGACAACAAACCTACAAAGTGTCAGCCCAAAACTCCGCTACAAGAGCGCCGTTGTTATTTATTTAGTCCTGTTGTTACATCTACAAAATGTTTATATTTAAGCAGTAAGCCTAGAATGAGAACTTTTATCGAGGCATTCTGTCATTTTTGCGCGACAAGCCACTACATTTTGTCGTCCTAAATCATCGATAAGATTTTATCAGCCGCGCATCCCAGCCCGGCTGGAGCAGAGACATTTCCGGATATATTGCCGACAGTGGCAATAATTTCCCGACGTCACATGGCCAAGCGAGAGTCGGCTCTTACACAATTAGCTGGGCAATTCGCGATGCGGTACCAATTCAATTAGCATGCAGGAAGTCGTGACGAGAGCCTGGATCTCTTAGCGCAGTGGTTTTCAACCTTTTTCATGACACGATTCCCTGGTATGAAAAAATATTTGGCGACCCCCCCGACCATTCGCTTTTTTCATGCATTTTTTTATAATGATCATTAACCGGCTACCTTAACATAAGTGATCATGCCGCATGCTGCATGCACCGTTACAAAGATGTTTGTAGGGACCGAATACTTCAATCCATACAACATCATCTGTCTTTATAACTAATGTTTTTTTACTGAGGTAGTTTTTACGACCTCTCGCGACCCCCCTGTAGAGGCTTCGTGACCCCCCAGGGGGTCGCGCGACCCACAGGTTGAAAAACAATGTCTTAGCGCATCTCGACCTTCAGTAAGACCTTCGGGTATCTCATCCTTTGTCTGCTTTCCGTATCTCGGATTAGCGTTCATTTCCAACACGTCTATTTTAAACTACTAGGTAGTAATATCCCCGTTAGCCCCATCATATAAAAGTGCTCTTTAGGAGTCTCAATACTCAATAGTTTATTGCTTCCATAATGTTTACAAAAGGTGTTATTGGTAAGGTAAGATACAATTATGGACCCTGTCGAGCACTGCATTTTAGGAGAGAAATATTACTTGCATAAATAAATAATTTGAATTCGATAAATGCTTTTGTTAGGTTGAGTTGGTTCACCGAAAATCGACCAGCAGTCGGTGAGATTTAAACTAATTTTTCTCTATTCTCGAATCGGCAGCCGGCAGTCATATGCTTACATCCTTATGGCAAAGTCACTTCAATTTGCACTTCTTTTACTGCTGATTATGTTAAACCGGTGAAATAGTTTAATCAACTTGTAAAATGTAAACATAAACATTTAAATAATGAAACGTGTCAGGTTCCCTTAACCTCGCTGCATTCTCATTTTCTTTGATTACTATAATTATCAACTATCTTGCACGAACGGATATCAGAGATTCCTATAACTTAGATGATCCTAACACCATTTAATAAGCACGCGAAGTTTTTATATGCATATTTTATGCGATCGTGCATTTAGAATTTTAGTTCAGACAGGCTATAATAGGAATACACTTGGAGTTTTTGGCGTGGCCTCTTTTAGACTAGATATGGTTTAGTTTTCCATTTGCTAATCTAAGTCCGGAAGAGCAAACCTTGAGTTGGGCTTTATTTGGTTTATCTGAACCAGATAGGTTTGAAAAAAATATGAACAGACGACAACATTGCATAGTTTTGTTGCTAAATCACTGCTATTACAACTGTGACAAACTTTTATTTGCATAATATTCTTCTAAACCTCTGATTCACCATAGGCATCTGACATTACTTTGACGTGTTTCAATTGAAGTGAAGCTTAACTTGCTCTCAGTATACCAATTTGATTCAAGCCTGCTATGTCCTACTAAGAAAATTGAAACAATTATACAGATTAGAAAAATCTTAGACATTTTGGTTGGAAAGGATGATGTAAAGTTTAAGTCGGTAGGAAATTCTCTTACAAAGAATTTCACTTCAAAAATGAGGATGGATGACACAGACATACAAATACATACGTTTGGCCTTGTTTGTATACCTTACCTCACTTTATAGTAGCTACCAGTAACATCTGTGTAACTGTTACGAAACCCACGAACTATCGAACTTGTTTATTTATTAAAGTATTGTCATTCATAAATGTCGTAAGTTAGTAGGCAGATCGAAGGTCGTTCTGAACCAACGACATCATACTAATCTATTAGGTAACGCGACATAGATCTATGGTGAAAAACCCCAAGCAACTACCTACCAATATGTGAGGAAAATCGGATTGTTCTCACACCTTATGTCACGCTCTTAAGGTTCATTTTCCGAGGTCGGTGACGTAATTCCATGCATATTTTCCTTGACTAGGTGTGGTGGANCTAGGTTGTGATGAAGCGAAGAAATCTTTATTGAATAGACTCATTCACTTCGTTCGTGAAGCGGAAACCCGCATATATTAAACTTAAGCAGACGCAAGATAAGTGAAAAATTATGTATCTTAGTTACGGATTACGAATCAACTAAAATAAACTAAGTCACAAATAAATACTCTCAAATGAGATAAAGTTCCAATATTGTGATAATCATGCCCAGAAAACGAATTTTTAAAACATTCGATTCCCAATTTGCATGCAAATTGGCCCCAATAGGGATTCGAAAACGATTTTTGCTGTTTTCGTTCGAAATTTGGAATTCGATATCTTTAAATATACGTAGACGATAGTCATTTGTTAATAAAAAATGAGTACACATTCGAAACAAAATAAGAATCTATTTATTTTTAAATTACTTGCAACTAGCCAGTATCATCCACCAAAAAGTTGTAAAACAAAATCAAGTCCATTCTGTAAATAGGTTTGAAGTAACAAACAAACTTTCTCAAAATCCATTTCTAAGATGAGCATGAATAATTCCAACTGCCTACTATTGTCTGTTACTACGTCAGTCGCTGGAAAGGTCAGTTAAATTCAATGCCAGTTTGTTCTGGCTGTAGTACCTAATGTATTTTTGATTTCCACTTCATGTTTGTTGTTCGTTATTGATTACGAATTCAAGATTATGTAGAATGGTATTGAGTTATTTGTAGTCGATTCATCAGGACTGGAATGGTAGTTTTTTTTAACAAAATAGTTACTTGAATGAAATATTTTTTTATAATAAAGCTTGTTATTTATTACAAAGGCTGAGTTGCACCACCAAACTTTGACCGTAATTAATTATAACGATAACCGGTGTGTTTTGTATGGAGTTTGATAGATTTTTTACGTTTGTCAAAGTCAAAGTCAGATGGTGCAACTTAGCATAAGTAAATTTTAAAGTTCGTAGAGATCTTGGCGCTAACGATTTCCGCTAAACTCTTGTTTTAAATGTTTTATTACAATTAATACTCAATTTATTATGTATTGCATTCAGAATGTTAGAAAAGTGGTATTATGTCGTGTCAAATTATGGGTATAAAATGTTTTGTATATTTTATGGATCGATATTGTATTTATTTATTACTTGTAGTTTTTCGACAATGTATTGGTGATGGGGATGTGGTGGTGACAGAAAGTGCTTTCCAAAGTTTATCTGTGCTAATCTAACAGTTAAATATTACTGAGTATATCTTCATTTGCATGGAACCATTTTCACCTGCAACTTGATGATAGTATTTTCCATGTTTTCACTTCCTTTGGTTACAAGGGAAATAACTAGATAACTACGTTTATCGATTTATCGTGAGAAATGGTATGCTAGGGAAACTTTGCCATCGGTATTTTGTTAGTTTGTTGGTGAAAAATAGTTTTATAGTTAAGACAATTCAATTTCAAGGCGAGAGTGAATAGGCACTTACAGGGCAGATATGTACCATCCCACTTAACATCAGGTGCGATTGTGGTCAAATAACTGCTTTGTTATGCATAAAATATAAACCTTTATTTATTTTTTATTTATTTATTTACTCAAGAAAATCAATTTTCCGTCTTATGATTAATGTCCAAGATTCCAATTTACAAAATCATAAAATCACGCAATCCAGCAAAATAACACGTGCTTTCAAATTCCGGTCTGATGACCGATTAGCATATTTTGTTGGGTCAGAATGGCCAGTGATCGATTGTTATGACGTAATATTAAAAAGAAAAATATTTATAAGACCTACTTTGAAGAAAAAGTTTTTCGTGAAATCACTGAATATCACGCCTTGCCTGCTCTTGAGCAAAGGTCTTACAACTTACAACCTTACCAAATTAGTCACCTTATTCCATTCAAGACCCTATCACTATATTAATAAGGTTGCAAGTTGGTCACTTGATGTTAACATGAAATTTCCTTTTCCAGTGGAGAACCCCAGCTTCGAGCAAGGCTACTTCGGGCCATGGATCATGTGCAAGAAGATGTTCTACAACAGGGAGAAGTGTGGTCCGGACGTGTCGAAGTTCCGGCCGTCTGGTAAGTCCAATATTGTCTACTTCTACTAATTAATATTATAAAGAGGAAAGATTTGAAAAATTCTTTAGAATCCTACATTAGCTCGGTGACCTACGAATGCAGGAGTAACCGCGCCTTAAACTTCTGTAATTTCAATGTTGACCACTAGGTATATCTCACTTTGAACAAACTAAATCATGTTGCGAAGACGTTGGTTTGAATTTCTAAAGTTTTTCTTCCAGTGACGGGGCCACCTTCAATGTTTTATTAACACCTTCGCTGCCAGCCTAAAAATGGCACTGTTCCGTTCGGGCCATGGGGGACAATGATGGGCGACACTTTAACTTTCCGTTCGGGCCGCGTCGGACAATGATGACCGCGAGTCAGACCTATGTTTAAACCTCTGTATTGAGCCGATGGGCAGCATTTCTTCAATAATTCTCATATAAGCTGACCCGCGCGGCTTCCAAGATTAGTGTACGTCACTNTGGGCCAAGTCACTGGAAGACTTGTTCGTTCGTCCCATAAGCAAAGAAATTACTTAAAATAAACTCTCTCGCAAAGGTCGCGTCTAAAATAATACGGTAGAAAGCCGAATATAAAATTATTTTTAGTCCTTTATAGATCACTCTATCGGCCTTGATCTCATTTCAAGTCTCAACTACATGATGTTTGTCTGCTCTATGTCAGATTTGAAGATCAATGTTATCTAGTCCGTCGCTTTTAAAAGCTGCTAATTAGAAAAGCAATAATTACTGAGCTACTTAGTTTCTTGCGCTCCTTCTCAGCACTAGCCCATTCATTGTCTCGAAGCAGTGGTAAGGGTTACGGTAATACTGGGACGTGTAAAAGCGCCTTTTGAAGAAAGTAACTTAATGATTTTTATGACTTCATCATTATTTCAGCCACAGGAAGTACACTGCTGAACATAGTCCTCCCAATGACTTCCACATCGCACAGTTGCTAGCGGCCTGCATCCAGCGCCTTCCTGCTACCTTTATTAGGTCGTCTTTATGACTTTATGATTGCGTAATGTAATGCTCATCAAAGATGTAGTGTTGGTACACTTGGCAAGAGACAAGACATTTCCCCATTTCTTACTACAATATTGTTTCTAAAAACGTATCTTCTCCGATATATTCGCCTTTATGGTAATTTATTACTGTTACTAATGTGTTCGTGTCACGAAACACACCCCAAAACGTCTTTGTTATTTTCATTCCCACTTTGGAAAAAGTTTGGTTTCCCGGCAACCACACCGATTCCCGACCCCCTAAATGTACCCACTGACCTATTTAAAGCGATTCACTTCCCTTAGGGTATAACTAGTGAGGGAACTATTGATCTAGAGACCTAATTGAGGGTACAAGCACAAGCATTGTTGTGTTCCGGCAGTTAGAGGTAAGATAGCCAGTTCCTCCGTGGTTGAGGATTCCGGGTGAAGCTCGCTTCCACCTTCGGCCTGATCATCACTTACCATCAGGTGAGATACAGGCCAAGAGCTTGTAAAAAGTAATAAACCGCAAGGCGTTATAAAATATAAACACAACACTTCAGATTTTTTTTCCACAGAAAATGCCAATAATTAAATAGCAGGAAACGTTGGACTGTCTCCAAATTACTGACTTAAAAAACAATGATAGTCTGTGTTTTAGACCAATGTATCGTTCTAAACAAGGTTACTGATGATTCATAGTTTTATCTTAGGATTTAGGAAAATACTGCATCAAGAATTCTAGACTAGATTCGATAGAGTCACGTACATCTGCTGTTTTGGTATTTCACTTGAGAAATGGCGACGTATGTAACGATCATAATCTCATATCGAAATTTTTTCTACAGGCAGGCACCCAGTTCTAAACCTAGTTATGCCTCTATTTAATAAATAGATTATATACCCGAAATTCATTTATCATGATATAATAAATTAATAACTTTCTGCTGGAATAAAAAAAAAATAAAATGTAGAGATGCTTATGTTTATTAAGAAAGGACAGAACCTTCCCAAAGCCAAAGGGCTTACAGGGCTCATGTTTTCGGGATTGTATTGTATGTATTTAAGATCTAATTGTAATATACCAATATGATGCAATAAAACATTATGACTATGACTAAAAGCCTCTATGTTTTGATAGTTTCCAAAACTCGTGCCAGCCTTTCAAGTTACCCTCCAAAAATAAGCATCGATGTAACACTATATTTCGCTACAAAGGGGTGCCTTCTCCAACAAAAACCAAACGTAAACAGTCCTTTCCACACCATCAGACTATACATTTGTGTTGCAATATCGTCCCTATTACAACTGTAAACTGTACACAGTGAAGCTTGATATGCAGTTGTTTGTGCACGATATCGATTCAATTTCCTTGTAGCTAAAGGACTTAATTCTGCATCATTAATCGATTGTCGCGACGGCTTTGTTTATGTAATAGGATACAACGTTGCAGACAGGTGCATCTGTTTAGTTTAAACACATAGGAAGTTAGTTTTTTCACTGTTGTTCAACCCAAGACAGGCAGGGCACAAAATATTATTTGGTATTTTGGTAATATTTGGTGAAGTTCGCTTCCACCTTCGGCCTGATCATCACTTACCATCAGGTGAGATACAGGACAAGAGCTTCCTCGTTGTGGATACAAAAAAATATTGTCACTGCTCTATTAAATTATTTCATGACCATTGTCAGTTATTTCATTGGCACTGCGATATAAGAAAAGTTTACTGCAGGGATTACTACTTCTTGTTCTTTGCCTGGCCCATTCCCATTTTATTTGGGGTCGGCCCTCCGCATCATGCGTCTCCAGGCGGTTCTTTCCTGGCTCGTCTCGCTGTTTACTTGGGCCTCTTTAAGGTCCTTATTTACCACGGACATCCAGTCTGTACTGCAGGGATTACTTCTAATTTTGTAAATAAGATCTCTAGGAAAATATTACTAAAGTTTATTACAACTTTTTCAAAGACACGCTCTATTTGAGGTTGGAATTGAACCTGCTCTCTCACGTTTCTTTCCCATCAACTATTTCACTAGTTAGCTAAGGTGATTCTTGACTGTTCCCCCTTTTTCCCACGACATAAAGGTAGGCCTATAATAAATTGAATTAGTATTAATATAGCTCTGTCTCTTTTCATCGCATTAAGATCTACATTTGACCTGAAAGTGACGAAGTATTTATTAACAAAGTCGGTATTATAACTTTTACACAGTTTTATGATCCAGTAACCAGTAAGGCAGGGTCCCAGGAAATGTGTGTGTGTGTGTTTAAGATTCTAACGCCCGTATTCACAAACGATGCTTGCTTAAGTGACGCAGCAAATCGAACGCACAGCGTTGAATAGAGCTCTATGATTGGTTCGCGTGTGACACCTGTGCGTCCACGCGCACTGGGAGACCTCATAGTAATGTTTGTGAATATGGATGTAATTCCAAATTCGAACGGATCGGTTTTCTCGGGACTGCAAACGGGATGTTCGTGTGAATTTTAATATTAATAAAGACGTATACAACTAAACGGGATCCTGCAAAAAACGGGATTGTCTGCGTGAGAAAGATCCCTAAAAGGTTGGGTTTAGAACTGATCACTACATAGTATAAAACAAAGTCGCTTTACTTGTCTGTCCCTATATTATATGCTTAGATCTTTAAAACTACGCAATGAATTTTGATGCGGTTTTTTTTAATAGATAGTTCAAGAGTAAGGTTTATATGTCTATACCTAAATTCTTTAGAAATTTCCTCAAATGTAAACAAACACTTGTGCACACAATAACACCATAATCACTTACTTAGCACCCGTGCGAAGTCGGGGCAGGTCGCTAGTAGTCTATATCTTACTGTAGCAATTCCTACAGCCGAAGTCTTTGTTCTTTATTGATTTCCTTTTGCCTGCTATCTAGCGGGTAGCGATGACAAGTCAGACCAAGCGGCAAATTGAAAGAAATTATTTCTTCATGCGCATTAGATTCGTTTGTAGTGTGAATAATGTTAGAAAGTGGATGTTTTGCAATAAAAATATACGTCCAATTCTCGGAAATATGGCGTAACGTTGTCAGTAATATTTCATGCTAATAATTTGTATAAGTAACTTTATTTACGCATGTTTGTTACGCGTGATCTCTGAATTTCTGTAACATATTGAGATGAAACGAAAACGAACGAGCGATATTGAGTTGCTAGTTTACATTTGAAGTATAGAAACTGGAAACAGAATTTGAAAATTATAAATAACTTGAAAAAATCGAACTGCCTAAGGCGTGAATTGAACCCACGGGAATTATCGCCCGGCAAGCATATAAGGTCGTGGGTTCAATTCCCGCCTTAGGCAGTTCGATTTTTTCAAGTTATTTGTAATTTTCAAATTAGTTTGAGATGCGATGCGACTCTTAATGCTAAAAATTAAATAACTATGGAAACAGAATTTTCGGATAGATCCAATTTATTTTCTTTGATACCGTTTGCAAGAGCTCGTGAAGGACTTTCTGGATCGGTAACCAGTTTTTAGATATGTTTCATAATTTAGAAATAATCGAGTAAGATCACTGATCGCTTCCACCCTGTACACTAGTACTAAAGTGCCACAAGAGTTTAATGGATATGAAAACTGCGGCCGTCTTTACTTCAACACTTAATTATGTTAATTGTTGCATTCATGCATCAGTTCTTTATAACCCTAAGACTTCATTCACTTCATTAATTAATATGCGAGACTTTTTATGCGATTGTGATTAGCTATTAATGTATTAACATTCCAATACTCATAGAATGTTAATGTTTATCTAAGGCGCTGGCGCTGCTACCTTTTATGGGTTAAAATCTTTGATGACGTATACAGGCATTTCTTCTCACGCCTACATAGGTCAGTCAATAATTTATTGCGAACTATAATAAACACAAATTGCTAGAGACTGTTTTTATGATGGTTACGTAAACATTACATAATTTTAATGGTAGAGCCAATCGACGTCTTAATAAAATAATCAATAGTCTGTCTACGTACAGTAGAACAAACTTTTTCTCACTCTAG